TTGTAATGAAATATATAATACTTTATAATTATTGAGATTTATGTAAAAGGTTATTTTAATAGTGTGAGTACGCTTGTCCAAAGTTATTGCGGAATGATCAATGTGAAACGTCAAAAAGTATTTCTTAGATTTGGTTGACTATAGTGAGAGTTGGCCCATTTTGCGCTTGCGAGAACGAGGCTGTCACTCGAGAAACTTTCTTCCTCATTATGAAATAAATAGCAGACATAGGTTAAAAAATTAAAAGAATACAAAAATTATGCAACCAAAAAAATATTTTTTTTACCAGAAATTATTTTCGAATTATAAGGGGGTAACTGTAAGTAAGCCCTACACTAAACACTAAAGGAAAGTAAGCATCTGGTTCTTTAAGTATCCTGTGACGTGCTATATACTCTACGTCCAGTTTGATTACATTTTTCAAAACTAAGAAGTGGAATTTTCTACGAGATATTCTATATTTTCTATATCAAATGTCAATTAATCGAGCTTGTCACCTTTTTTATAAAATACTTTTTCATATTATAAAATATAGCGCCAGATTTACAGAAAATAATTTGAAGATATAGATTATATTTGGTTAAATAATCTTATTTTATTCAAAGTTCAAAAAATCATCTAATTATAAATCATCACAATTTGGAAATACTTCTTGACGAAGAGCTAACTTTCGCACATGAGGTGCGAGGAGTATGGATAACAAATAAATTAAATGGAAAAAATTGTTAAAAAAATATATATTAAACCACAAGTTTTAAATCTGTATGTTGATTGTTATCCTAGACTGGCGTCAGACGTTTGATTTATTAATATTTTACAGTTGTCAGATTTTTAATTTATCAGTATTTGACAAGGTATGTTGATATTGACAGGATTAGCAGTAAAGGCAAAACGATGGCTCTTAGGTTCGAATACAGATGAAGATAAAAAAATAAATAGAAAAAAGACCTCCGTGCAATGCAATTAAAGAAAAGCATTAATAGTAAGCTAAAAGAACTAGTGGAAAACCTACACAACCAATTATGAGAAATTGAACAAAACATCATGTCTCATAAAGTGCGCTTGTACACTTAGTCTAAAAAGTTTTTGTTTTAAATAATTTAAAATTTACCAATAAGGAAATTGTTTTAAGCTTAAATATTGCAAAGTAATTAATTTTTGGTTTTATGTTAACGTCGGATGTAATCAAGTTGTTAATTAAGTTCCGTTGTATTAAGTTTTGAGTAAATCATACGGAGTGAAAATGGACACTGAATTATCCGTTAAACGTCAACAAGTTCATTTTGTTTTAATTGAAAAAATATTGAAAGAGTGTTATTGGATTAAATTAAATACACATTAAATTAAAAAAATACAATTGATTGACCGGTAGAGAATACCCAATAACGTTATATTATCCTCCCTATGTTTTTTTTTTTGTAATTAGTAATATAGAATAAATAATTACAATTAAAATGTTAAGTCTGAAATGTATATTGTACGTTTCAAATTCAAACAACAAAAATTAAAGGGGATTAAATATTATAAATTCGTAAATCTGTTAATAGTAGCTTATATTTCTGATGTCGCTAGTGAAACAAATTTGTCCAAAACCAACCTGGACATACTAACAACGTACCGATGATAAAAAAATTCCCTCAGTTGCGAGGATACAGCTTGTTAAAGTATTTGCAAGCACTATTAAAATAGTTCTTGTAAAAATACTTCGATAAAAATATTTACTTTCGCAAATATTCATTTTAAACTGTCATTACCTGAAGTGTTTTAGTGATTTAAGAATATCCACAACCCCATATAGTGTCCCATGGGTGTTGAAAGGGGTGACAAAGTAAACAAACCAGGACATGGGAAATAGCGTCTTACTAATACTAACTAAAAAAATGCGACTTCCAGCCCACGTGGAAGCCCACGAAGAAGGGTGGTAACTATGTTAAATATCCCCGTTATAAAGTAATGTTTTGAGTTGAATTGAGTGCGTCCATTTTGAGTTTTTTTTTTCGCTATGTAGCATACTTGTTGAGTTGTAACGGTGTACCCATTTCAACCTGCGTTGCAGTACCTGCTTCACTCAAGAAAAGTTTTTTTTTTATATGAAGAAATGTAATATTATGATATTTTATTACTACTTAGTGGCAAAACTAAAATAGTGGGGAAATATCGAGTCATATAAAAATTTCATCATTGTAATTTAGCTTCATTTTTGCTTCGTGTTCGGTCGTCTGTATCCTAACTTAACCATTGGATATTCTCTTGCAGAATGCCCTTTCACTGCCTTGTTATCAATAATCTTATGGTACTCATTTGAAATTATACTTACTAGTAGTATGATCAATCACAAATATTTTGTCAATATACTTTTATTCCTTCTAATAAGGTGTAAAATGTAAAACAATATATTTTTATGCATTCACGTGTAAGGGTTTTTGTACGTTGCTACGACATTTACATATTTTATAATGAATAAGGCACGAAAATAACACAATATTTCACAATTTTTTGTACAGCTTCCGTTCCACTAGTGTATTTCTATATTAACTGGAATGCATAAATTCAGACTGTTTATGTAAATTTACGCCATTGTTTTTCGTTTTCTGTTTTCCTTTTATTATTTTGTCTTATAATAAGGTAATCATAATCATCATTGTCATCATTATTTATTGTTATTATTACAAGTCCACTGCTAAACAAAACCCTCCCCAAGTAATACACAAATCGAGGATCTGAGCCAACTGCACCCATCGACTTCCTGCATCTCTTACCGGGTTATTACGTGACTGCCACTCGTGAACCTTTATTCCCCATCGGCTATCATTTGTTTTATGAATTTACTTATTATGTCAGTAAAAATGACATATAATAAAAAATGAAAATACAAAAATTATATATTAACCACAATTGAAACTCAAGTGAGTTTTAGAAGTTGTTGCATTATTAGAGTAGGGGGAAGGAAGGACCACCCCACTCAACGTAGCGCAGTCGAGGGAAGCCCGTTCAACGGAGCCCCGCTTCGCTCGCTCACTTCACCCCGCCAACTCCTTCAAACCTAACAGTTTAGCATTTTCACACTACCATAAAATCTAGCCAAGTTTACCAAATAATCAGGAAAATGATACTACTATATAAGTGAAGTAACAAAAATATTTAATGTCAAAGATGAAGTTCTCAAAAACTTTTCTAGTAAACACCAAAAATAACATTCAGTATAATATTTTTCAACCATATAACCTTTATAATAAGCTATACAATAAAATCAATAGTGTTTTGTGAAATCAAAAAAATAAGAACAATATAGAGTATATTGTTTTAATTTTTGACTATAATGTTACAATTATCACAAGGGGATCTTCTTAAATAAAATAGTAGATACATTGCTAAGAAACGAATCAATATTGGTATATGTTTTTCTTATCAGTAGTAAAAATCTCGTAGCAGAATGAATTAAAAAACCCAAAATATAGAGTTTAAAATCTTCTAGCAAAAATCAAAAAGCTAAATAACATTCATTATACCTAATATGTTTAAACCCATTAAATAAGCTACACAATGAGATCAATAGTATTTCATGAAAAGACAAAAATTAGAAGAATATACTCTTTCTCAAAAAGTTTTTAAAATAATACACACGTTATATTATTCTTAAATAAAATAGTAGATACATTCCATGAAACTAATCGATATTGGTATTATATATTTTTCTTATAGAACTGGCACACAACGTTTACTAATAAACTGTAGGTAAAAAAACTAGTCATTGAGACTTTCTTCTTTCAAAGAAACAAATCTCGTAGCTAAATGACATAACATGTAAAAAAGTAAAAAAAAAAACACGTAATAATTTCTAACAGACGCCAGCATATAAACCTACACCAATCTGTCAAATTTTCCTAACTGAATATGAATCTTCTAGTTCTGTGATAAAGTTGAAAATCTATTGAAGAAATTTGACAGATGGAGGTTAGTTGATGTGCTGGCGTCTAACCATAAGAGATAATGGTCCCTTTTACAAAATATTAATACTACTTTCTATAAAACCTTTCTTTCTTAAACCATTTAAATAAATATTCAACAATTAAAATTACATCATATCCAAGTCGGTACTCACGTAATATTCTTTAGAGGATTCCTTCCGTTGAAACAAATTTACCTTTTGACGATAAAAATATTGGTCACTATATCAGTATCTAAAATTCTTCGGACTACAAATCAGATAAATCTTTGACGATTTTCAAATATCTTACCTCATAATTATTTTCTCTGTTCTTATATTCTATATTCACATCAAATCTTTTAAAATATTTTCACGTTTTTCTTTGGAAAGATCGGACTATTATACTATCATTTATGTTGAAAATGAAGTTCTGCGTATTTCCTTCTGCAAGTTTTCGTGGTGTTTTTAGTTTGGATAATTTAAATTTGCTTAAAATACATAGGTAACCGTTTATAACTTTCTCTTTTATGATTATGAACGAAATAGGAGAAAGCGCTGTCAAAATTTCACGTTTGATAAAAAGGATAAACTGGTAAAGTTAAAGGATACTTTTAATAATGTACAACATGTATGTAAGGTACAACAAACCAAGCGAAGAATGAAGCGTGGTGAATTTGTGCACAAGAACTACGGCTAGGTACTAGGTAAGTTATTCATAAACAGTTTTTGATAAATATAAACCTTTGTTTAATAGTTGTTATACCTAGTTGTTTTCAAGTTAGTTGTCTTAACATCCAAACTTTATAGCTGTAAATAGTTTAATCATAATTGCTATCTTGATTTTATATATATAATGTCTGTAAAGAGTTTCTATTTACTTACTTGAATGAGTAGTTACTTTCTTAGTACCTATATTCTTAGTACATTAACCTCTCTATCTACTATGATGTTTTTCCTGAATTGCCTACTAATAACGTACCACTGATATTTCAGAAGTAAAGAATTTCTTATGAGAGTCTGGGAGAAAATGAAGATGCGAAATTATACAAAGCACTCATTAAAAGCAGTCACAATGGCACAGGAGGTGGAACATCGTACATTAAGACAGATCCTATTCTGGAAAATCAGTGAATTGATGGGCCGACCAGGCATAACTGATGTCTGGGATTTAGATACTGACCAAAGTACTGAAGCAAGTTCATTACCAATATTTGGTGATGAGACAATAGAAATTTTAATTATTCAAAATGAAAATGTAAGTATTTACAGAATTTTCTAATATTATATAGGTATATTAAAAGTAGAAATTGACTGACAAATAGTCCAACCACTGTAGTAGAAATCAGGGTAATAAGTTTTTTCATATTATAATATTATATACAAGTTATGTATATTATTATGTTTGTGAGATATTATTTTATCACAGACTAAGGAGATACTTCCTTTCCTACCAGTCGTTGAATGGAGAGCTAGACAGAGACTGAGGGGTGACAAGGACAAGATGAAATAATCTGGCAGAATTTTCAATATTAAACTCTTTCACTCAATGTTAAATTATAATGCATTTTCCTGCCTCTATATAGTATAGATGCTACAATAATCACCTTAACTGGATCTGTCATTTGTGCAGGTTTCCATTGTATGATTATAATATTATAGTTACACTGTGATTTTATACAAAAAATTGTTTTGTTACAAGTTTAGTACAATACTAGCAATGTGGAAAATAATGAAATTAAGGATGTTGGGAATAATGATGACATTGCTACAACACTCTCATTACCGACATCATCTCAATTTATTAAGTCGACACCTATATGTAAAAGGCGATGACCACTACTTAACTCCTCAGTCTCACCAAAAATTGATAAATATTTCTATAACCTCACTCCTTCGCTAATTCAAAAATTGTTAAATTAAAATAGGCATGTCAATAGTTGGTAGGTATATAGATCACACTACCTGTTATTGAGATATTATGTCAATATTTGGATTCACATTATTATTTATTTTGATAGAAACCTTATACAAAAAATATGTTTTAACGACAGGGATCATTTTCAATATAAATTAAAAGACGTCTGGCTTACTTTTTCAATTTTTTGACACCGTATCAATAACTTAATATCCTATTATGGACACTCTCAATAATAGGAAAAAATATGTCAATAATAAGTTCCTTACTACAAATTATAACGATTAATTTCAATCGATTGTTTTACCAATAACTAAAAAAATATTTAAAGGTAGGTATTAGATCAAAGATACATAAAAAATCATTCTGTAATTTACAGTATGGCCAAAGACAAAGCAAATCCTGGTTAAAAAGGCAAAAGTTCTCTAAACAAGATTAATAAAAAGAAAAAATCTCCAAAAAAAAGCAGTACTCTTCTAAACTATCAAAGTAGCAATAGAAGCAATGAATAAAGAGATGTTCAAGAAATTGGTTTCAAAAACTACACTACACTACACTACACTTATTTTCCATACAACCATCCAGACAACAATTAGAGACCAGGTCCACCTACCTTCCTGACAGCAAAAGAGGAAGAATATTTAGTTACTTGGATCAAAATTAATAGCCAAAAAAAAGGCTTTCCAAGACGAAAAGAGAACCTGATTACAAGTGTTTTAACAGTGGTAGAGCCACGCGGCAGCTTTGCTGTCGCACGTATGGGCCGGCTCAAACCGGGGTGGTACCACGACCTCACAGAATACCGGCGTGAAGTGGAAGCTCTGCTTCCGCGTTTCGTCTGGTGAGTGCAGGTGGCCGGAGGCCCAAATCCCCCCCCCCATCAACATGGTAGCGGAATTAAATGATAGACTACCCCAGGAGGGTACCAGCACCCCTGGAGAATCCCTCGCTGAGCATCCACGACCATGTTTCTCCACTTCTGAGCGTGGGTGCTCAGGCTGCCCCGCGTATTCTGGGGGGGGGGGGGGCAATATTCCGCTCAAGACTAAAACTGCTCGGGGCAAACGGAGCAACAAGACCAAGGCGACCCCTGCCACGCTGTCCGTGAATTTCTGCAATATCAGGGGACTTCACTCTAACCTAAACGCCGTCCACTACCATCTCGAGACGGCGAGGCCGGCTCTGCTCTTTCTGACCGAGACGCAGGTGTCCTCTCCGGCTGATGTCTCGTATCTCTCCTGCCCGGGGTACAAACTGGAACGCTCCTTTGTGCCTCGGGCTGGAGTTTGCGTTTACGTCAGAAAGGACATCTGTTCTCGACGCCTCGGCAGACTTGAAGGTTCGGACCTGTCCATCCTTTGGCTACGCGTAGACAGCGACGACCATCCGCGCGTCTACGGGTGCCTCTATAGGTCCCATAGCGGTAATGCCGAAACAGACCGACTCTTCGACCACGTCCAAATGGTTGCAGATTCGTTGCTACAGCAGATCCCCTCCGCAGAGATCGTGATCCTCGGCGACTTTAACGCCCATCACGCCGAATGGCTCGGTTCACGTTTAACCGATCATGCGGGGAGATCTGTTCATGATTTTGCCTTGGCATATGGTCTGACACAACTGGTTACTTCGCCTACGCGGATCGCAGATGTGGAGGATCATGCACCTTCCCTGTTGGACCTTCTGCTGACCTCTCACCAGGACGGATATCAGATTTTCGTCGACGCCCCTTTAGGCTCCTCGGACCATTGTCTTGTCCGGAGTGTGGTGCCACTCACGCTGAAATCGCGGTTGCATTCTGCAGGCTGCCGCAGTGTTTGGCACTATAGGTCAGCCGATTGGGATGGGATGCGGTCTTTCTTTGCATCCTACCCTTGGGGGCGGGTTTGCTTCTCGCCGGACGATCCCAACGTTGTTGCGGATTCTGTCGCTGATGTGGTACTTCAGGGTATGGAACTTTTTATTCCTTCCTCTGTGGTGCCCATTGGAGGCAAATCTCAGCCATGGTTTGGTCGCTCCTGTAAAATAGCATCATGCTATAAGCAGGAGTGCTACAAAGCCTGGGCTGACGCATCAGCGTCCCGGAATGTAAACACCAGCGCTCTAAAAAAGAAGTATAATTCCGCCTCTAGGTCTCAAAAGAGTCATTGCCAAGGCAAAGTCAGAGTACATAGGCAGAATTGGCGAGAGACTAGTTCGTCTTCCTTCTGGAACCCGTGCATTCTGGTCTCTCGCCAAGGCTGTCCAGGGGAATTTCTGTCAGCCATCTCTTCCATCTCTGCACAGGGAGGACGACTCACTGGCCCACACCGCAAAGGAGAAAGCCGATCTTCTAGGCGCTTTCTTTGCGTATAACCGCGGGGGAGTACGCCGCCAACCATCCCGCGGTGTGAGTGCTCCATGCCGGAAGTGCAGTTCACTCAGCGCTCGGTTCGCAAAGCACTCCTCTCCCTGGACATCCATAAGTCGAGTGGGCCTGATGGAATCCCCCCAATTGTGCTGAGGACGTGTGCTCCAGAGTTGGCACCGGTTTTAACGCGTCTTTTCCGGTACTCCTACTCCCTAGGCGTAGTCCCAAAATCATGGAAGACGGCTTTCGTCCACCCGATCCCTAAAAAAGGCGACCGCTCAGACCCGTCCAACTACCGGCCTATCGCCATCACCTCCTTGTAAAATGGAGTCATTGTAAACTGCCAGCTCATGAGGTACCTTGAGGATCACCAGCTGATTAGTGACCGCCAATACGGTTTTCGCCGTGGTAGGTCAGCTGGTGATCTTCTGGTCTACCTAACTCACAGATGGGCGGAGGCAGTAGAGTCCAAGGGGGAGGCATTGGCCGTTAGTTTGGACATTGCGAAGGCCTTCGATCGGGTTTGGCACAAAGCGCTTCTTTCGAAGCTCCCTTCCTATGGGCTTCCCGAGAAATTGTGCGATTGGATCACCAGTTTTCTTGCGGATCGGAGCATCAAGGTCGTTGTAGACGGTGCAAGCTCCGATTGCAAGCTTATTAATGCTGGTGTTCCACAGGGCTGCGTGCTATCGCCAACGCTGTTTCTTCTGCATATCAATGATATGTTGCAAACCCGTAGCATTCATTGCTATGCAGATGACAGCACTGGTGATGCTCTTTACACCGGCCGAGCCAATATTTCTCGGGAAAACGTCTCTGAGTGCCGGGACAAACTTGTGTCTGAAGTCGAGTCTCTGCTGGACAGAGTCTCGGATTGGGGGCGACTAAATCTAGTCCAGTTTAACCCCCAGAAGACACAAGTTTGCGCGTTAACCGCTAAAAAGAACCCCTTTGTCGTATCCCCTCAGTTTTAAGGCACTCCCCTTGTTGCCTCAGCCAGTATCGGAATCCTCGGCGTCGACGTATCGAGTGACGTGCAGTTTCGTGGTCACTTGGAAGGGAAGGCCAAATTGGCCTCTAAAAAGCTTGGCGTGCTCAGCAGAGCGGGACAGTATTTCATGCCGGCACACCGCCTGCAACTTTACAAGGCGCAGGTTCGGCCGCTCATGGAATACTGTTCCCATCTCTGGGCTGGGGCTCCCCAGTACCAGCTCCTTCCACTTGACCGCATCCAGCGCAGAGCGGCTCGAATCGTCGACGACCGAGTGCTTTCCGATCGGCTCGATTCACTGGCGCTGCGAAGACATGTTGCATCTCTTTGCGTATTTTATCGCATCTATCACGGGGAGTGCTCTGAGGAATTGTTCGGATTAATCCCAGCCGCCAAATTTCGTGAACGCACTACACGGCAAACGTCCCGATACCATCCACACCATCTGGATGCTTGGCGGTCCACCACTGTACGTTTCAAAAGGAGTTTTCTTCCGCGTACAACCTCTGTGTGGAATAATTTACCACCGGTGATTTTTCCGGACCGATACGACCTGGGGACCTTCAACAAAAGAGTTTACTCCTTTCTAAAGGGCCGGCAACGCACCTGCAATTCCCCTGGTGTTGCGGTTGATCATGGGCGGCGGTAGTCACTTAACATCAGGTGAGCCACATGCTCGTTTGCCCCCTCTTCTATAAAAAAAAAAAGTGTAGCTGAATTCATAAAAAAAGCTAATAGATCGAATCCAGTCCAGATCCACTATACAAACTTACATTCGCCTAAGCCGACTCTGAAATTGCTTCTTCGTAGCCAGCCACGGCTTCTTTGACCCTTGGAAAAAACTTGCCTTTTATTTTATCTTTGAATCTTGGCAAAACAAACACAAGGAGCTAAGTCCGGGCTGTAGGGTGGGTAACTTAGAGTTTTAACACCACATTCCTCAATAAATGCTTTTGTTCTAAGGGAGGTATGTGAAGAGGCGTTATCGTGATGCAGCATGTTCCCCGAAGCCCGGTCTTTGGTCTTCTCTCTCGCACAGCTTTAAAAGCTTTGGGTAATGCAACTGTAGTTTACTATTTAGAGTTGACTGACCTACAATTTTGCAGCGTTGACATCGACAAATATCCGCACCGCGAAAAAAAAATAGCCACCACTTATTTTTCCGACGTTGTAGTTTGGTCGGTAACTGTCCTTCTGAGTAATACCGATGAGCGCCTTTCATTTTCTGTATCATAATGCTGGATTCACGTCTCGTCT